CGAGTCCGGCGGCACGACACCGGCGGAGCAAACTGTCAAAAAGCCCGATTATTGTACAAATTCCCTCTAAATACACGGCACTGACCTGCCCCCCCACGCATCATCATTGAAAAGTTCCGTCGCGGGCCAAGACAGATCCCCGTCGCACACACAATTTCATTCTTCCAACGGCTATCCATCTGTCTGGTCGACGTTGTTACCACGGCTCTTCGCCCACCGGGAAGACATCTACACAGAACCACGCAACACTGTCAACCTTTTGGACTCAATATACGTCTTCGCCAGTTATTTTAAAACACCACTTTTCACCACACGACGACGTCAAAGGTCTTACGTCTCCTGTGCGTCGTCATTTTTGGACGCCTACGACATTCCATTAAGATGGGCTAAGTCCACTTACGAGGGCCCGGGCGATGGGCAAAGCTGACCCAGTCAACAACACAACCACACCGTCAGCGTCATATGCCGTAACATGTTTTCTTTTTCTCCCCTGGTCCCCCGTTTCAAGCACGTGTGCCACAGATTATGTGGAGTCACCCTTTACATAGTCTTTGTGTTCCCAGTAAGGCGTCGCAAGACGCGGACCCCTTTTGATTCTTATTCTCTAATCCAAATGTAACACCCCGGCTTCAACGAGCCGCGCATGTTTTTTCCCGGTAACCCTGTGAGGATACACCGTGAGTAATATGGTGTGTCGCCTCCTGTGGGCCGGAAAAGTGTATCAAAATATTTTTATTTCGTTGATAATTGCTATGTGACAACCCGTATTATTATATCTTAATGCCGAAATAGTTATTATTATAATGTCAAAACGTATACTATTTAACTTATAACCATCGGATATATAAATCTTCAGCGTTTAATCGCTGATGCGTGTACAAAGCCTATGAGTTCCACCGACTTGGCCCTTGGGTCATCACGCGGTGTGGCTCATAGGTCACAACCGGAGTGTTCCGCTTTGGTTGTGGGTAGCTTTTGGTAGCCTAACAAACTACCAGATTCTTACAATATATTGGACAAAAATAATGGAATACATTATTCAAGGTAGTTAGATAATTCTGTCATAACAGTAGCTTCTGCGTGTTATGAAAGTATTCCTACATCAGGAGTCAAATGATTGTCCAGAAAAGAAAAAAACACCATAATTGTTCAGCGGCCCCTTTGTATTGGTCAATATAATCAATTTATGGGTGGTACTGATTTAATGGACGAGAATGTAAACAGATATAGAATTGATTTTCGTGGAAAAAAATGGTGGTGGTGTTTGTTTACTCGGCTTATTGATGTATCAATACAAAATGCTTGGATTCTTCACAAAAATCTAGTGGAAATCTATCTCAACTTGAATTCGGGAATTTTTGAATTCAAATTGATATCCTGAAGACATATCTGATTATCTACAGAAATTTGCCAAAACCACCAGGACCTTCAGCTATAAAATTCCTGATGCTGCACGATTATATGATGGGACAGATCATCTAATAATACCAGTAGTCTATGGTATGGGGAGAAGATGTGTGGCTGACAATTGTACGTCCAAAGGTGTTACACAGTGTTTAAAATGCAATGTTGGGTTATGTGTAATGTGCTTTGCTTCATATCATAGTAAATATTATTATAATTATTATTGATAGATGTTTTATTTTAATATTCTATTGCACTATTTATTTATATATAAGATATAACTTTGGAATTTTTAATAAAATACAAACATAAAAAAATAAAATAGTTATAATTTCAATACAATATTTTAATAAAAAAAAAAATTGTAATAGCTGAGTGTACCCATATGGTGACATACTAAAGCTCAGACTTAGCGTATGTAAACTTTTTTTTTTTTGGTTTTGTTACGTTAATGTATGGTATACAGGGTGTTTCACGATGAACTGACAATTGCAATTACTTTGGTTCTACTGAACATTTTCAACTTTTTTTTTTTTTTTTTTTTTTTAATTGTCAATTGTCTTCTACGTTACATTTAAAATATTTTTTGAATTTTTTTTAACATTTTTTGTGTAAAATTTTAAAATTTTAAAATGTAGTATTTGATATTTTAAAAAATCAAAGTAGCCATTTTGTTGATTTGAATTATAAAATATGTTTGCAAAAAAAAAATGTTAAATGTTCAACCGTTTGTTTTCTATAATTTTTTGAAGTTTGCACAAATTTATATTTTTTCTAAGCGATTTTTTTGATCCTACTTAGGTATTTACGATCTTGATGTTTCCATGAAAAAATCCAACGTATCACGGGCTACGGCTACAGATAATATTTTCTATGTATATTTATGATCATATCACCACGGTCCACTGAGATTGATAAGTATATTCTTATCTATCTTAGTATCACGGTCTTATCATTTAAGACCGTGGTATTATCACAGAACAAACAGAAGGGAATCTTAAGGCTCATCGAAAAACCGTCCGACATTTCTAGATTTTAAACGTGCTGCCACGTACCGAGAAATTCCCTTTTTTTAAAGTTTGCTGTGGTTTGTGGCTACACTGTTAATCTGCAATTCCACTCATTATTGTTATTTTAACTTTATTATTTTTGTAATTTTTTAGTCAAGTACTAACGTACATTCATAATTAATATTCCCCATTTGGTAACTATTAAAGTCTGAGTTTTCCTATTAAATAAATTATAATGTTAACTTGTTATGCGTGTTGATTGTTATATTTGTTTTATTATTTGTAATAATTGTTTTTGATACTTTACAAAAAAATAAAAAAATAAATTGAATTTATACGGTGTAATAATTTAAATTTTACAGCTCTTAGAGAGTATTAAATGTGGATTTTAAGTATTCCTACTGACTATAGGTACAGGTTATGTAACAATGTCACATACTTCTACCAGTATATTTATTTAGAATAAATCTTCAATTTGTCTTAGCAATTGCGTGTACTAATTACACAAGTTCCAAAAAAATAAAATAAAATTAGTACTGCTTAGATTATTCAAAACCAGCGTACGTAATTTCTTTTGTAATCTTCTGTGTACCTATGCATTTTTGTTCATTCATCAACTAAATATAGTGATAAATAAAATATGCATAGTTTTTGTTTTTCTTAGATTCTGTACTTAGATAAATGGTAAAAATGCAATTTCTTAAAAAAAAATCGGTTTGATTGTTTGAATAAAATAATATATTAGAAATTTGAACGAATAAACAGTGCTGCACAATATAAAGAAAAAAGAGAAATTCCCGGTACTTGGCAGCACGTTTAAATTTTAGAAATGTCGGACGTGGTTTTATCATCTCCCATAAGAGCCTATGTTAAATGAAATAAGATTCCCTTCTGTTTGTTCTGTGGTATTATCTATGCGTATAATATTGCTATTAAATCAAATAATCTCAAATATTACTAGCGTCTCGGGAGCAAAATTGCGCGACCAATCAGAATCGTTCACATTTGTTATCACTATTAGTGAAAATCACGTTTTTTATCATAGATAATAAATAATATATACAGTGTGTTTCCTTTTAAAGGTAACACTAAATAATTCTGTCCAATGACATCGAATTAATATGCGGTTTTCAGGAGTGGATAGGGAATACATAAATACACATTTCTTAATGATTTTTACATTTTTAGATCTTTCCGTGTGCGCATGCGCAATACCACTTGCATTTTTTAAATGGCAACAGGTGTTTTGAATACCAAATTCGGATAGACCGAATTTTTTTTAAGTCGATTTGGTCCTTTGTACCATAGTTCTAAAATCAAAATTGACTAAATGGCAACCAGTCAAAGTTTCGATTAAAATTATTGAATTTTTCACCAATCATACTAGAACTTTATGAATTATTATGAAATTTTATTTATTATTTTTGTATCCATAGGTTTACAGATATTATTAAATCATTTAAATTTAATTTTGAGGAATTAATTAACCTCAATTAGACGTAAATGTTAGTTCAATTACTAAGTAAGAAAAGATTAAACTAATTAACACATTTTTTTTACAATTTCAATCATTTCTATTATTTATTTGGATAGATTTACGTTGTGAGGTTAATTAATTCCTCAAAATTAAATTTAAATGATTTAATAATATCTGTAAACCTACGGATACAAAAATAATAAATAAAATTTCATAATAATTCATAAAATTCTAGTATGATTGGTGAAAAATTCAATAATTTTAATCGCAACTTTGACTGGTTGCCATTTAGTCAATTTTGTTTTTAGAACTATGGTAAAAAGGACCAAATCGACTTAAAAAAATTCGGTCTAACCGAATTTGGTATTCAAAACACCTGTTGCCATTTAAAAAAATGCAAGTTGTATTGCGCATGCGCACACGGAAAGATTAAAAAATGTAAAAATTATTAAGAAATGTGTATTTATGTATTCCCTATCCCCTCCTGAAAACCGCATATTAATCCGATGTCACTGGACAGAATAATTTAGTGTTACCTTTAAAAGAAAACACACTGTATATAAAAAAAATAGAAGCACATTTTTACAGATAAACAGACATTATAGTACTTTTTACCAACTATACTAATTTAGTAAATGGAAAATATAAACAATTGTTGCAAAACTGGTATTGTATATTTTCCAAATAAATTTACAAAAAGTTATTCTGTCTCCAATCTCAATTTAGTACCCAAAAAATCATACTGTTGTTTGGTTTTATGATTTTATAAATAATAAAAAATAAATAAATAATTATTATTGGTATAATACCTATTAAATATAAAGGGAAAAAACCACAACATATTTAACATTTTATGTTTTGTATTTTCAATGTAAATACATTTAACATATTAACACATAAATAATACAGTGACAGTGATTCATTTCGCTCGTCAAAAGAATCACTCAGATAATAGAAATGTACATTAAACAAAATATTGTACATAAAATCTGTGATCCAACACGAACAGAAAATAATGTTCACTGTGTCAACAGTAAACGCTCACCAAGTACAACTGCGTATGTAATATTAAATATTTTATTTATTAAACAATAACAAAATAACATTAACTACAATAAGTTTTCAAAATGCCCTCCATAATTGTCTAAACATTTTTCGTATCGCCATATGATTGATGAATCCATGACAGATATCGACATTGTCGTTGTTACTGTACGACATGCTGCAGTAATACGTTCTTTTAAATATATCAAGGATTTTGATTGTTGCTCATAGACCTTGTCTTTTAAGTAACCCCACAATAAAAAGTCCAACGGAGTCAGGTAAGGAGATCGTGGAGGCCATTTGACTGGACCATTTGTACCAAGCCATTGTGATGGATACTGCTGGTTCAAATGATCCTTAACTACATTGGCGTTGTGAGGTGAAGCACCATCCTGCTGAAACCACACATTGTCACAAACTTCATCGGGTACATCAGCCATCAAATCAGGCAAAATATTGACCAGAAAATCAAGGTACCGAAGACCAGTTAATGTACCGTTGTAAAAATATGGTCCGATTAACTGATTATTAAAAATCCCACACCAAACATTGATTGACCATCTAATTTTTGTATTTGTTTCACATGTCCAATGTGGATTATTTTTACTCCAAAAATGTGAATTTCGACGGTTTACAATGCCATTATTGTTGAAACAACTTTCATCAGTCCACAAAATTTTTGAAAGAATGTTTTCATCTTCTTCATGCAACACTACCATATGTGATATAAAATCTAAACTTCTAATTGGGTCTGTCTATTTTAACCCTTGTACATAATGGATTTTATAAGGATGGTAAGAATTTTGATGTAAGATACGGTAGACCAAAGAACAACTAATATCTGTTTGACTAGCTATCATTCTAATTGATGCATGTGGTTGAAGTTCAAACGCAGCTAAGATACTACATTGGTGATTTTCATCCAACGCAGAAAGAAATTTTCCTTTTTTTACACTGGTCGGAAAGGTACCTTAAATGATAAAATTTAATTAGTTATATTGTTAATTATTTTATAACTACTTTTAAAGTTAATTTTTGTATTATTTTTACGAGATATTGTATACTGTGTACTGTGTAAATTAAATTAATGTTTTAATAAATTATAATACTGTTTTAATATATGCTACTCTAAGGCAAGGATTTTGTTATATTTTATTAGATATATATTTTTATTTAGTCAACGTTCTTACGCCATTACGGCTATTTTTTTGCACCATCTTAAAATAAATAAAATTTTAAAATTGCTTATATAAATACAAATGTATTATAATTATATATTATATTATATATTATAATTTATTTATAATTATTTTAAAGGGTATTAACTTTAAAACAATTTTTAGTTTTGTTTTGTTATTTTGATATTAATTAATATGATTGCATACTTTGGTAGGTAATAAATGTAATATGAAATTTAGGTTGGTTAATAAATTAAATCCAATTGGAAGCTTTTTTTTAATTCTTAGTAAAATTTCCTACTAAGCATATTCAAATTCGTATGATAAAACACCTATACATATACATATTTTATGACCGAGCATTTAAAAATTAAATGCTTAATATTATCTTTTTCGCCTAAACATTTGTCTATGTTCGCATAAATAGCTCTTGATGGCCGTCTCCTTTGAGGGTATCATAGTTAGTACAAACAAGATGCTTTTAATGTACTTCTTCCTACTTCATTAAAAACTGCCAACATATCGGCATACTCGTTTTTGTTATATATGGTAGGCATGTTACAAATTTAAAAAAAATTAACAAAAGAACACTGCAAAGCTTATTACAATTCTATAGCTTACCACAGAAAGCCGCTAATTGGCAGATAGACCTATCATACAGGTAAATAATTTACGAGTATAGTAGTACATTATATTTTTAAAAATAGCACATCATAGTAAAAACCAAATAGGTTTTTATGTTATCTACGACACCAAACATTTTATCTTTGATGTGTGAAGGTTTAATTCAGATGAAATTTGTTCTTGTCATCAGTTGTATTTTTGGGGTTTATATTAACACGTTGGTGCAACAATTTTACCTCTTCAATATTTCATTTTGTGTATTTTGGATATCAAAATGGATTTTTCAAAAATTGATGTGCTTGAAAACGTTGGTACATTGTACACTGAGTACAAAAAAAACAACGGGACAGAATATCACAGAATCGGAATTTTTCAAATTTGCATTCCAAGAATCGATTGCAGAAATGGATCATATAAAGGTGCGTCTCCACCAAAACGCACGGCCGCACGAACGGTTTCGTACGTCGTTCGATCGTACGACACCGTACGTTCAAAGCCAATGTCTACACCTAATCGTACGAATATGTGTACGTATGTCTCTCCCGTTCGCTTGATTTCGCCAGTTAGCTCCGTACGCTTGAATAGAAAACGTGTCTACTTTTTTATTCTAACTATGAATAATGAACTAGTTCATGAAAGTTATGACTTTGACACTATGACAGCCTGCGCTGGGTATATTATCATTCATTCTTTACTGAAAAAAGAAAAAAGAAGAAAAAAAGGAAATATCCAGGCTGGTGGATGACTTCTGCATTAAAAAAGTAGGGAGATATACAGTGGAGATATACCGATTTTCTACACGATTTAAATAAAGAAGACGGAGCAAATTTCAATAATTTTTGTAGAAAGAGTAGCAATCCCATTTAATGAAAGATTAGCTATAACTCTTCGATATTAAGCTACTGGAGACTCGTACATAAGTCTAGCATACACTTTTAAAGTGTAAAAACAAACAATTTCTAGAATTATACCTGAAGTCTGTTCTGCAATGATAGAAGTTCTTAAGGAATATGTCAAGGTTAGTAAATATCTTATTATTATTATAATTGTTTCTTTATTACTTGATATTATTCAAAGATAATTAAAACAAATATTATTTAAAACATTATAAATATTAAAGAAAAATAAACATAACTGCATTATGAAAATATAATATTATTAAATGTAACAAAAAATAAAAAATAAAAACAACTATAAATTCAAATAATATTAAAGGTAGGTTCACCGCTTATACCTATAATTGTAAATTAAATATTTATTAGGAAAAATACTTTTTAATTAATTCATACTTGCAGGCGGTAATGGTTGAAAAGCGTCTGACTGAAGTTGCTGTTGATTCGAGGTATTGTGAAGGTTCTCTGCAATATGTGTTAACGGCATATTTACGTGAGAGTAAGACTGTTATGGGGATTGTAATTAGACGGGATTTGTGTATGAGAATTTTGAAAATAAGGGCTGGGTATGACCTGGCTGAGTATGAACAGACTGAGTATAATGTTTCATTTCTGCAATGAAAATTAGATATTGTATCTGGTTCTCTAATATTGCCTTTTCATGTGGAAATAAAATATTTTTAATTTGCTATCAATATATGTGACAAATGGTGAATATTCATAACTTACTGCCGGTTTCTTTTCACTAATATACTTCATGATCGCAAAGGCCTCATTTATTTTACTATCTGCATCGTCAACGTCACATGTTCGTTTTTTTTTCAACGAGTGGATTTTTTTTGTCCTATTCATTTTCATGCATAACATGTTCTTCTGTTGATACCGTAGTAATATCTAAATCATTCTCTGATGAATTCGATGGCTCTTCAGTATTATCAACCTAAAAGAATATATTATACCATGCATAACAGGAGGATCTAGGACATTTTGGCGCGGTCGTTTTGGCGGTAAGCTATTTTGGCACGAAGCTATTTTGGCGCGAAGCCATTTTTGACGGAGTTAAAGACTTCTTTTTATTTTATTAAAATTATTATTTATTTAATTTAAAAAACTCAAACATTAAAAAAATTCTATTAATTAAAAAATACAATCGATAGCTGATGTTACGTACCTATCAATATATTAACTATGTACAATGTAAGGCACGTTTCTAGTAGTATTGACGATATAGCTAATAAGGCAATTAGTATATTATAACATGCTTAGATCATTGCAAAAACATAGTATAAAACAATTAAGCTATACAAGCGTCGTCACACGTATCTCCTCGGGAAAGCTAAACACCCATACGGAGATACGAGTCGACAGCATACCAAGTACGAGACAGGACTCTGTCTCATGACCGAATTTTGCCACTACTATAACCACCCACTCCAAAGGACTCGATCATATAAATACCAGCCCAGGACAAGAGCTCGTCAGACGGTTAGGGATACTCAAGACACTTGGAGGCAGGTCGTAAAACCACTCACAGCCTTAGTATCATTTTGGAGGCAGGTCGTAACACCACTCAAAATCTTAGTAACAATTCAGAGTCAGGTCGTAACACCGCTCACCTCTCTACATAAGCTTTATACATTGTAATTTTGTACTTAAATAAATACTCATAATAACCTATTGCATCAAGTATTCATTTCCACGTTGATGTATATATCGACGTCAGTTGGGACGCAACACTGATAATAGAGCTGAAAAACTTACTAAAAAAATTATTATTATAAGAAATAGTATGTGCTACACCTCTTAATAGGTTAAATTGTCTCGAGTATCTGATTCTGTACTATTTTTAGCATTTCTTGTCTGTGTCAATATATTTTTTGAGCTTTTTTAGGGGACTTCTTCCTGATTCCAATTGAAATAAGTATGTATCCCTTCCAGCTTGAATTTTTCTTAAGCAAGTTATAAATGACCATAATGTAGGATGGACCATTCCCATTTCAAAATTTATTCTTCGGTTGGCTGCCTCTGCATGATTATTTGTTCTGTGTATACCATTTAGTACTCACTCGTTTAAATTCAAAATTGATGGTGGAAATCTAGCGGGTCTCCGTCCACGTCCATTTCGATTTAATCTTCCGGGCATAATTATCTTCAAACCATTCAAGCAGGGTTGAAGTTCTCTGGTAAATTTCAGGTAACACGACATTGCTATGTAAATGTTGTTGATGCAAACAAATGCAATTGCAATTATCATTTTAACAGAAAAGAAAATCTGCATCGTTATTATATTTTTGATATAAGATGCAGTTCACCAATTTTTTTTTTGAAATTTTTTGTGAGATGAAAAAAACAACCATGAATAATAATATTTGTGAAATTTTTTTTCACTGCATTTATAGCAGCTAATTCATAGTCTAATGAAATAGATGTAGGATATAGTTCAGGACATAAATTTATCAACATTTGAAACAGTTTTTCATACGTTTTTGTAAATTTATCAGGCAGTAATGCATATATAATAGGGTGTACACCATTTAAATATTCAGCTAGTATATCGTACACTTGAGTAAAAAGTGGAGGGGAAATTTTAAAAGTCCCATCTCCTAACCATGTTTTAGAATTTCGTAATAATCTGAAACATTTACGCCAAATTAGTTTCACGCCAAAACGGACTCGTCAAAATGTTCCATTCCGATAACAGAATGATCTAACAAATTAAATAACTTTTGTTCCAATCAATAATTTAAATTGTTTTTATATATTTTATATCAATTTACGTTACAAGCGTTCAATTCTTGATTTTAAATTTTTTTGTACTGAAAATTAAACATTTGAAATACATTTTCTTTTTAAATAATTCAAAATTTAATTTTTAGCATAATTTTTATGGTATACACGTTTATTAATTAAACACGTCAAATAATTTATGTTTTACATTTTTTGCAAATACCTTTAATATCAATATTTTATGGGGGAATTTTCTGACATATTATGTTATTAAATAATAACTAATACGATTACAATTATATTAGTAAATCTTCGAAAATTAAAATAATACAGGTATTGGTTTTATAATTGAAAATATTAAAATACATATCGATTGTGAAACTAGCATAGATAACTAAAAAAGAAAGGATCCAACTATAAGTATTTATAGTTTTTAGTATTTATTTTTTTATAAGCATTTCTTTTTTTTGTAATTCAGAATTTTTAAAAATTGTTCAACAAATACATTTTATAAACACTTTTAGTAATATCTTGTTAACCTTGAAGTTTCATAAAGAAATTGTTTTAAAAGTAAGTTTATTTTCAACTTTTTCGTTCATTTATTAAGTAGTATTAAGAAAAGCATGTTTTTAAAAATTATTTTTTTATTTTTAAGCTTTTTTCATGTCTGTCCAGTACAAGTCATTGCAGCTGAAGGTGACAAAGAAGGTTGGTGGCCCATGGCATCTAATTTGTCCAATTAAATCATTTAAAGCTGTCCGCCAGTAAGCTGCAGACCCTCTAAGATTTTTAATGTATAAATGTACATCGTCAATCATTCCATTTTGTCCTTGAATTTTTTTTCCACAAGCTGCTATTGCTGATTAAATAAAAATCGCCATCCCAAAAAAAATTAAGAGCTGAAGAAACGCCATCAATGAAAAATAAACGCCTTTTACAACAACGCGAAAACAGGATTAAACAATGGGACAAAGAAACTCCAGAAAGCGGAGAAGCCCGGAGGCAAGCGGACCTTGAACGGTATCTACAACGTTGTGCAGCACAGACTCCCCAAGATCGAGAAGCCCATCTGGAAAATATACGCAGACAGCGGCTGGAACGTTCAGCAAGCGAAATAGAGTTTGAAAAAGCAATTAACACATTTTGTGATCAATTTTGTGAAGTTTGTACAAAACGATGCTACCCTAACCAGGTTTCAATATTAAAATTTTCTAATTATAAACCTAATTATTTGCCAATTGAATTACTCCAAAAAAAACAACTCTTACTTTGTCATCGCTGCAAAACTCATCTGTCTAGTCGAAAAACTACTGCACCTCCAAAAGCATTTTGGAATAAACTTGATCCTGGCGTTATACCAAATGAAATCCACCTTCTTTCACAGGCAGAAAAACGATTACTGTCGAGAATAATACCATTTGTAAAAATTATTAAGTATGATGGCTTATATGGACAGTGGGGTTTCAAAGGCCAGGCAGTTCTTTTTGCACTAGACATTTTTGAATTCAGTGAAAAATTACCGGAAATTTTGCCAAGGTCAACCCATGAAGCGGGTATTATCGTTGTTACTGAACGTCTGGAAAATCTAAACATTACTAGACAATGGTCAATAAATCGCGAAAAAGTGTTTAAAGCTTTAGATTGGCTAATAAAAAATAATCCACTATACAAAGACGTTCAAGTTAATCACAATGTAGAGCTTAACGAGGAAAACTTGATAAGAATAACCCAAACAACAAAAAATATAGGAGTTAATCAGCCGCAGGAACCAGCATACAAATATATAAATAAATTATCAAGAATTTTAAGAGCATCTTGGCATCAAAATAGTTCTTAAATATTTAAATCTGACCATGCCGGGGTTCAGTGTTGTGCTATGGCGCTTTCAAATATTATTAGAGCATCCATTCTTCCTCCGAGTACATGGAACACTCTTACTTTAAATAAGAATTTAATTGAGGGTGATAAATTATATGAATTAATCAAAACCCGCACAGAAGAATCGGAGGATACTTAGCCGCTGGGAGACAATGGCTTCTTGCTGATAAAAAAATTTAAAATAATTAAAAACAACTTCGGTATATTCGAGCAACTTTTTAATATAATATAATATAATAATACATAGTTGCTTATAGTATTAAAATGTACTGAAAATAATAAATATTATGCTTTCAAAAAATCGTTTGTTTCTAATTTATCACTAAAAAGTAGAAAATAAAAAAAATAAAAAAATAATTTTTAAAAACATGCTTTTCTTAATACTACTTAATAAATGAACGAAAAAGTTGAAAATAAACTTACTTTTAAAACAATTTCTTAATGAAACTTCAAGGTTAACAAGATATTACTAAAAGTGTTTATAAAATGTATTTGTTGAACAATTTTAAAATATTCTGAATTACAAAAAAAAGAAATGCATGGGGCTCTTATGAGTCAGGAATATCTCTTATAAAATTGTAAGTGTGATCAATAATCTTTACAATATTATCATAAAGTTTATATAAAGATTCAGTTGTAGAGTGACTTTACGTATGACTTATCATAAGTATATAAGTTATCTATTTTCGTAAAAGTGTCCAATAACAACAAAATTCAACAATTTCAGAATATTGCTTTTAGGAAAATTACTAATGCTACAACCTTTGTTTCGAATTACACTATACATAATAACCTGTCAATTAAAACCGTGGCTCTTATGAGTCAGGAATATCTCTTACAAAATTGGAAGTGTGATCAATAATCTTTAAAATATTTATCATAAAGTTTATCTAAAGAATCAGTTGTAGAGTGCCCTTACGTAGGAGTTATCATAAGTGCCCCATGCATTTCTTTTTTTTGTAATTCAGAATTTTTAAAAATTGTTCAAAAAATACATTTTATAAACACTTTTAGTAATATCTTGTTAACCTTGAAGTTTCATTAAGAATTGTTTTAAAAGTAAGTTTATTTTCAACTTTTTCGTTCATTTATTAAGTAGTATTAAGAAAAGCATGTTTTTAAAAATTATTTTTTTATTTTTTTTTATTTTGAGGTGCAGTAGTTTTTCGACTAGACAGATGAGTTTTGCAGCGATGACAAAGTAAGAGTTGTTTTTTTTGGAGTAATTCAATTGGCAAATAATTAGGTTTATAATTAGAAAATTTTAATATTGAAACCTGGTTAGGGTAGCATCGTTTTGTACAAACTTCACAAAATGTGTTAATTGCTTTTTCAAACTCTATTTCGCTTGCTGAAACGTTCCAGCCGCTGTCTGCGTATATTTTCCAGATGGGCTTCTCGATCTTGGGGAGTCTGTGCTGCACAACATTGTAGATATCAAGGTCCGCTTGCTTCCGGGCTTCTCTGCTTTCTGGATTTTCTGCAGCGGTGCGTTGTAAATATCGTTCATGTTCCGCTTGCCTCCGGGCTTCTCCGCTTTCTGGAGTTTCTTTGTCCCGTTGTTTAATCCTGTTTTCGCGTTGTTGTAAAAGGCGTTTATTTTTCATTGATGGCGTTTCTTCAGCTCTTAATTTTTTTTGGGCTTGGCGATTTTTATATAATCTTGCCCGTTTAGCTTCTGAGCCCTCGTTAGCCTTCTTTTCTTGATACTTTATACGAGCTCGTTCAAGGCACCTTTTTCGTTGAGTTGCGGGCTCTTTATACATTATTATTTGTTTACTATTTTATTATCTATACGCTTTGTCAATCTCTATGTAAGATTTTCTTACTGTTTTAACAATGAAACGCGTTAAAAGTTAAAAGTAATTATTATTATAATAGTTTTGTAACCCATGGAAACCGTTTATAAACAAAATTTCGTACCTGTATATTATTTATTCTTCTTCCTCGGAGATGACTTTGCACACCCGTCATCGCCGACCTGGAGGTCCGGGTCCCAAAATGACAACGGATTATTGTATTGCCTTCCAAGACCTATGTCTATACAAATTTTCATAATTTTTCATCGTAAATAAGTGCCTCAAATCGAGCGCGCAAGATTTAATGACAACAGGAATGAAACATTGTGAGTTAAAGAAAAGCATGTAAGAAACATTGTGAGTTAAAGAAAAGCATGTAATAAAAAAATGCAGTATAGGTCAATACCTATATGTAGGTCGCACACTGGTCCGAAAATGTATGTGTAGGTCGCACATTGGACCAATGCCAAAGTTTTTAATATTACTTTTTAAATAGCTACAACAGAGACTTCCCCATAACATTCAGATTCTTGAAAATATTTCAGTAAAAAATACTCTAAGCCTAATAAAAGAACCAATCACACCATTAACTAACCTAATGCAATTAGAAAATGATCAAATTGGTAAAATTGAAGTTCAGTGGAAGAATATTTTAAATGTAAAATGGATTGAACACACAAACACTCAAAAGTTTTGGAGCGAAGTTTCAAATTATCGTGATGCCTCTGGATCGAATCTATTCTCAGAACTTAGTGAATTTGCTACAAGATTGCTCGTGTTACCTTGGTCTAATGCCGAAGTGGAGCGACTTTTCAGTCAAATGAACCTAGCGAAGACAAAAATCCGTAACCTGGCTATTAGATTCACTTCTTACAATAAGAGCCGGATTACGGAGACACACAAAATGTTGTTCGGATTATGAGTTACCTTATGCCGTATTAAAAAAAATTGGAAAACAGCAAATGTACCTGAAACAAAATAATAGTGAAAATATACCAACAACTTCTAATCCAATACAAACTAGTAGTTCTACGGAAGTACCAACTTCACAAACCGACTAGTGTGAGGATATTATTTCAACTATTCACATCTCTGATGATAACCAAGAAGATATAGATGACCCAAGTTGGTTTTAAATTATTATATTTTTTATTTTATTATTAAATATACGGGATAAAACCCTTTAACACAATTACACATTACATTCATAGACATTGTATACAGTTATATAACTTAAGATAAGAAGTATTTAATTAAACAAAACAGCTATAAAGTAAGTAGACACGAAGGGTCAACATTGGCATTACTCATTATACGTGAAATCAGTTCATTTTTTAGATAGTTTGTGGAGGCAAAAGGGACATAAAAAGGAGCGATAGATCGGGAAGGACGTTGAGGAACACGGAAACAGATTAAGGAAAGCAATTCAGGAGAGTCGATAATTCCATCTAATAAGTTTTTTAAAAATTTGATGTCCGCCAACCGCCGACGCTCAGCCAGGGAAACCAGTCCTAGCTGAGAAGCAACTGGTTCGTAGTTATGAGGTTCACATGGAATATTCAAACGAAATCCAGCATACTTCATGAATTTTCGTTGAACCCTTTCTAGCCTGACAGAGTCATTATTGTCCTGAGGATTCCAAATAACGGCACCATATTCTAAAATAGGGCGTACGAGAGTACAATAAAGAACCTTAAAGGATAAGCCTAATCGAAAGTCTCTACATAGTCTCAATACAAATCCCAAGGTTCTAAAAGCCTTGCAACAGATATGTTCAATGTGGGGACTCGGATCGAGATTACTAGTAAGAATAAACCCAAGATCAGTAACACTGCCATTAGAGCATGCGATAGCAGTTGACCCAAGATGATATGCATATTTGACAGGGGACCGAATTCTAGTATAAGTCATGGTCTTACACTTAGAAACATTAAGGGATAAGCCTAGAGTATTGAACCATTCGGTGAACCGATCAAAATCAATCTGTAACAACATACAGTCATCTAAGGAAGATACACTGGAGAAGAGTTTAATATCATCTGCAAAACACAAAATACGACTATTTGATAGAACACTTGACACACTATTGATAAATAAAGAGAAAAGGAGTGGAGAAAGGTGTCCACCTTGTGGAACACCAGATGTTGCTAGATAAGCGTTAGACCTCACTCCATACAGTTTAACCCATTGATAGCGGAAAGAAAGGTAAGACGAAAACCAAGACAAGAGACGTTCACCAGACACCAATTCCAGATGCTTTCAGGACCTGAACTAGGGCACTGTGATTAACTGAATCAAATGCCTTATTGAAATCAGTGTAAATAGCATCTACCTGTGATTTCTGGGCGAACGAACGGTATACATAATTACTAAAGACTAAATTACAGGTAATGGTGGAACGACCAGGGCGAAAGCCATGCTGTTCCTCCATAAGTATTCTATTGATCGATGGTTGAATACATTGCATGACTAGTGATTCAAAAATTTTGGAGATATGTGATTGGATGGAGATTAGACGATAGTTTGATACATTGGACAGTTCACCAGCTTTATGTACAGGAGTGACAGAGCTGAACTTTAACATAGAAGGAAAGATTCCTTCGTCAAGCGAACGCTTAAAAAGAGTCCAGAGGGGGAAAGCTATAACATTTTTCAGTTGACATAAGTATTCACCGGATAAGCCATCAGGACCAGTAGTCCAATTACCATGTAGTTTAGATAACTTATTATAAACATCATCAACAGTAAAATTTACATTGTTAGGTAAGTCAAATGACTTGATTCCTAACGAGGTAGTATCGAGATCAAAAATATTTACAGAGAAAACGGAAGAAAAGTACAAAGAAAACAAATTAGCCGCATCCTGTTCATTGGCTGAGGTTGATGCACTATAGGAGACAACCTTAGGAATCGTACTAAAAGACTTTTTATTTTTAACATACTTCCAGTAACCAGCAGGGTTGCTAATTAAAGACGATTCTATACGTGCGACATAATTACGTAAACACTTTTTTGACTCATATTTAAACCGAGCACGAAGCAAAGAAAATTCCCTATAGTCGTGAGCACTAGAAGATGCCTTAAATTTAATATGCGCCTTCTTCTTTAAGTATAAAATGTTTTTAAGTCCCTTATCAAACCACTAGGGAAATGTAAAATCAGTAAATGTACATTTGGGAACAAAGTCGAGAACCGATTTGTGCAGGGCATCATAAAAAGTATTAAATGCAGCGTCCACATTATGTAATTGGAATGTTGAATACCAGTCGAAAGACGATAAGAACAAACAAGCATCTTCAAAGTTAGCTTTACGAAAATTAAAGAATGTATGACTACGATTACAATGAGGAGTAGACTGATTTATTGGGAGAGAAATATTTAAGGCAGGATGATAAGGATCAACCGGAACAAGAGGTTCATTTGATTTCTCAACAGATAATAATTTATTGCAAGAAAACACAAGATCAAGGGTAGAATTGAAACAATTAGCTGTATAGTTTTTTTGAAAAAAAAACAGAAAGTAGCAAATGCTTCAGGGATACAAGCACCTAGGGAGGGTGATAAGGAAGAGTAAATAAGACCGTGATCATCATTATCCCAAACTAACTCCGGCAAATTGTGGTCGCCACATAAAATAAACGTGTGAACAAGGTAGTTACTTCGTATGTGTTCAATAGAGTTTATATGCGACTCGTAAAGGATAGTAGGAGAGTTAGGGGGAAAATAGACACCACCTAAAACAAAACTAGCTTGACCAACCGTAAAGCGAACAAATATATGTTCAACACTTAGGTCAGGGATATAAATAAGAGAAGCAGGGAGCTCTTTATGAATGCCAATGAGGACACCTCCGCCCCTAGAAAATACACTTGTATTACTACATCGATCATATCTAAAAATATTATAGTTACATAAGCCAAGTTCATTATTACTAAAGTTATTATTTAACCAGAATAACCAGTAAATTATGTTACTATTTAAATAAGTATTTTTGAAACACCTTAAATTTGTATATAGTATCATAGATTAAATATACTATAGATAGCCCACGCCATGGAATAACGCGGCAACCAGATATGCACACGTTTTGGACCCCGGCAGAGTAGTACTAATGGACGCCCATAGGATCGCTAAAGTATTATAGATTTTGCGCATGCGCTGACGTCAAAGCCGTGCGCCGAGTTGAAACACTTTAAAAAGCAATATACTTGCGCGTTGCGAGACTGGCATCTATGATACGTTATAGGTACGTGAACGGCGGCAACTAACATAATATTATTAAAATATTATTTATAATTATAAACAAATTAATTTCTATGTATTCTTTGTAACATATACATCGATAGACTTTAACAAGTGACCACAGATATTAAAATACAAATATTATAGGTAATAGGTATTATAATAATACAATATTCTGCAATTACCTACAGATTTATAATTTATCTTTATTAAGTACTTACCTAGTTAGTTGTTAAAATCCAAAACAACATTATTATTTTTTTCATAACAGGGGTAATGAGAGTACCTAATTTTATTTTATAAAACAAGTAAAAATGTTACATAATTATAAAATCTTAAAATTATTGTTGTAGGTAGTAAAAAAAATTCCTTTATAATTTTATAAGTATAATAAAAGGTATAGTTGTATAACTTAAAAGCTAATATAATATTTTACATTTTATAAAATACAGTAAAAATTGTTTAAAATATCTTTATATTAAAATCTTTATAAAAAGTTCTAAGGACAATATTAGTAATAATTATAATAATTAACAATTACCAAACAATTGTACAAATCAAATATTATTTTTTTTCATAAAATATTTTAACCATACGTATACCTAGGTAAATATTTTTTTACAAAGTTAAATGAAGAAAAATAATACATCGTAAAACCATACAATTTTAACACTGCAAAATAAAAGAAAACCTTACCTATCAGAACTAAAAAAAATAATACAATTAATACGCACATATACATATAATATGCACCAACACCGGGCAACACCATTTTATTATAACATACCTATTTACATGCCAACTAATAAATTAGGTACTTACATAATATTATGTTAAGCTTAAACATTTTTCAAAATTTTTAATTTATTCACTGTTTGTACACTAGAACGTCCTTTCAAATGTTTAGATGTCCAATTAAAATGCCTTAATAATTTACAAATTATTAATTTTTGGATAATAAAATCAATATGTTGATCACAGTTTGGATCAAAATTTAAATCAGAAATCAATTCATTTTTTATTTTTAGTTGGATGGTTGCACACAATTTTCTTTTATGAGGATTTAGTTCTACAAAATCTTTTAAACACTTTTGTGCTGTAGAAACAAAGTTTATAAATAAATCAGAAGGCTTTTTGAGACTACTTCTTTCAATATCGGCACTTTCAAATTGTTTGTAAAAAATTAAATACTCTTGGTCATCAAACAAAAAATCGTTACTTTTTAAAATTATTAATTCACATTTAGTGCATTTAAATTGATCTATACATTTTTTGGCCAAATATCCAGCAAAGTATGTATTTGAACAGGTTTCTAATGTTATTTCTTCTTCTTTATTATTGAGGCATTGATTGAAATCACCCTCCTCTTCCGAAGATACAAATGAGTCTGAAACTGATTCAACTAAAGTATCTATATCTGTGTTAGGTGTAGAAATCGTTGCGTTCTGTGAACCAGGATCAAATAAATTGTAATCAAAATCATTTTCACAATTTGATGACTCAGTGGCTTTCATGAGATTATGTTTTGCTTGAAACCGAAATGATGTTCTAAAGGTACGAGCAGTCGGGTTTCTATTGAAACCTCCACGCTGTCGAAAAACCGAAAAAATATTTTCTATGATATCTTGGTTTAAACGGCAAGTAAGAAGATATTTAAAAGGAACCTAAATTTTTTTGTTGTCTATAAATCATTATGATTGCGTTTATGCTCCATATCATGGCGTCGAAACACGGAAGAACTTTACCATACACTTTTATAGGCTGTATTAACTCCAGCTGTGTACACCATTCTTTAGCTTTCATTAAACAATTAAGTATATAAGGTTTGTCGTCATTTAAAGCACAAGAGTATATGTTGGAACTGTATAATGCTTTGCTATTTAGGCAGTCGAATAAATTATTTAATTCTTGAACAAAATCAGCGGTTGCGGCGGCAGTTTTTGATTTTATTTTACCTGTAGCAATGCATGTTTTTAAAACAGCTGCTACTGAATTACTAAAGACTTGAAGAGCAAGTTTACAATTCATTTTTTGAAACGGATTTGGGTTCATATGACTGTCAGTTAGTTTTAAAAGGGCTCTACTAGTATTACTTGTTTTATCAATATTATAAGCCAACTTAATATCTGAAAAAGATACTTCTTGACCTTTATATTTGAAATTATATTTCAAAAAATTGTTTCTGAAATTTTTGAAAATATGCGGTACATCAAAAATAGAATAAATAGTTTTACCTTTAATTTCAACAAATGGTTTTTCTTTGCAACAACCTAAGTGTTTTAGAGCTGAATAATTATTGGAGCCTTGATCACAAACGAGAGCCACAATATTACAACCCAGATCTGTACATTTTTCGATTACATCTACAATTAAATCTTTTAATATTGAACTACTCATTGATGAACCCGATAAAAAATAAGCCAATGGTAATTTCCAATTACTATAAAGTCCTCGAACAACAAAAACCATGGCCTGCGTAGCCAATTTATTCGTTCTACCTTTGTGTCCTAAATCTTCAAACCCTTCAACCATATCTAAATACTTAGAATATTCTAAAAAAGATTTTATTTTCATTTCATTAAATATTAAAACACAGTGTTTTTCTTCATCTGACATTGTTTCCAACTTATTTTTAATTTGCTTTAACCAGAGTGAATTAAAACCGGGACAAAATTTAGACTTCCCTATCCACCTACGTAACGTAGTTTCACCTGGTAAAATTATTTGTTGGTTATTTCTAAGAAATTTGTATGTAGCAGGTGATTTATAGTATAAATTTATAGCAAAATTTTTTTCAGCTAGTGTCCAGGGTTTCCTTGAATTACGTTTATGAAACATTTGCATTTCTGCTATGACTTTTGATCCAAAACTTGAAAATTTAATATTATTTTTAAAAGTATGTAAATTATATTTATTACGAGAAACTTGTATTTTTTTTTCGAATTAAGTCTTCAAGATGTTTTTTTGACTTTTTTGGGCTTTGTTCGATAGGAAAAAGAACTGTTTTTGCCTTGTTTATTCGACGTTCTTGAGTACTAATTGGTGAAGGCATATCTATAAATGATTTGATCATAGAACTTGTTGACGGAGAACATTCATAAGTTAAAATTGGCGAAGACGGTGATGCATTTAATGTAGCTGGAAGATGAGGAGATTCGATAGGTGTTCTTGGACATTTTTTTTTGTACATTTTGGTTGGAGTTTTAACGTGTAAATTTGGTGATTTGCAGTCTTTAAATTCGTTAAAAGATGAAATTGGAATGTATTGTTCCACATCAACTGCTAATTCAGTAAAATCGTACTTCATTGGAACTGCTTTTTGTTTTAGTCTTTGTTGTGTTTCAATATTATTAAAATCCGTGGGTTTAAAATGTAAATTACATACATGGCGGTTATTCAGTTGTTCTAACGTTAAATCCACCAATTTAATATTCCCTACAGATAAAATATTAAAGTCAGAAAAATTGGGAAATATTTCAATTTAGGGTATTGGTGTATTTTTCTATCTACTACATTCGTTAAATTTTAATTATATGTTTAAGAGGACGTGGTACCCGCATATGTTGTCTCCGTCATGCTTGTATCACAAACAAAAATAGCGTTAAAAATTAAAATTCTGTGGCTTGGGTCGAAAAGGGCCAATCTCAATTTTAGTCACTTTGTAGTAATCAAGAATAAAGCCTCCTTTTTTTTTTGAAAATTCATAGCAATTTTTTTTTTTTATTGTTCATGTTTTTGTTTTTGTGATGGATGTAAATATAGTTTACCCTACATTTTAGAGTATGGTGTGAATTTTTTAGTGAAATATAGAAGGTTTTCTATTGACATTGGCCCTACAAAAAAAAAAAAAATCATGACTTTGGCCCTTATAGTGATCACTATAAGGGCCAATGTCATGTTGTTTTTTTTTATAGGGCCATTGTTGTCATTTTCATGGGGCCAATGTTCACATTGGCCCCATAGATTTTGTAATTTTCATGACATTGGCCCTCTCATATCTTGCACTAATGATTAACGAGATACGCCCTTTTACCACTAGAAAAAGCGTATTAAGTTTTATGAGATTGGCCATATAACTCATTTTCGCCAAAAAGTGAGATTGGCCCTTTTAGACCCAAGCCACAGAATTATTTCATGATCAAAAATACCCGTTTTAGATTCTGAGTGGAACGATGAATGTATTGATTTTACAATGATGTGTGTTTTTATATATTTTTTTTTATTTTTTTATTTTTATTTTTGTGTCTGTGTACACGATAAGTAGTCGAAATAATGATTTGATTTTCGACTTCAGTATCTTGTTCGATTGGAAAGTGAATATCGTTGGTGCATTGGGGAGGTCAAAATTTAAAATTCCCAGTACTTTTCAAAAGCGCCAAGAAAAACAAAAGAAAAATTAAGGAAAAAAGGGGAATTTTTACGCAAAATCGATTTTTCAGAAAATTGAATTTGGTTTTTGGTGTAACTTTAAAACAAATGACCGTAGATACATGAAATTTTCACTGGTTGTTTATATTTGCATTTTCTATACACGATAACATTTTCAAAATATTTTGATTTATTTTGAACTGTTTAGGGACATTTTCATTTTTCATTTTTTTTAGTTTTTTTTCTAGAAATATCAATAAAATTTTATTTGTTGGTTAAAAAACTTGAAAATTTAATAGAAGGCTCCTAGTATATTGTTTCAAAGGCAGATGAAAAATATCAAAAATCGTTAGTCACAGTTTTTTTTTATAAGCATTTAAAGTTCAAAAATTGACAAAATATGGAAAAATCACGAAAATTAGCAAATTATTTTGAGTTAAGAATTCGTAAAAATTTTTCTTTTTAAATCTAAGATTTGAAAATGTAATACAAGATTACTCATAAGTTTGTCTACCTTTATCAATAAAAAAATCTCTACCGGACAGTCAAATTAAATTTTTATGAGCGTTTGAAATTAAAATTTTTACAACATTGGATATTCACTCGATTTCTCATGTAGCGATTTTCTTTTTTTGTTGTAATTCAAAAACGAATAACTATAAACACATGAAAATTTCACTGAATGTTAATATTAGCATTTCCTATACACCATACAATTTTGAAAATATTTTGACTCTTTTTGAGCTGTTTACGGACATTTATAGCTTTCAATTTTTTGTTAGTTTTTTTTCTTTATATATCAATAAAGTTTTATCTGTTGGGCCAAAAGTGTAAAAATGTAATACAAGGCTCCTGATATATTGTTACTATATCAGTTGAAAAATATTAAAAATACATAGGCACAGTTTTTTTTTATAAGCATTTAAAGATCGAATTTTGACAAAATTTATCAAAATCTCGAAAATTATCAATCATTGTAATTAATAAATTATAAAATGTTCAGTTTTTATAGCTAAGGATTACAAATTTAAAACAAAGGTTCTCATTAATAGTTCATACTGTAACCAAAAAATCTAAAAAATATATGAACACAGTTATTTTTTACAGACATTTTAAATTCAAATTTGGACGAAATTACATATAAAAAACCTAGAATAACTATTTTAGTTATTTTGTTGTGATTGAATAATGTTATTCGTGAGTATTTGAAACTTCTAAAGTGTACTATTATATATCTATGATAGTATCACGGTTTTTGTTGATGTATAACGCGTTATAAGTACCTAATGGATATTGTGATAACTGATATGATTAATTTGGAATTTATTATAGGTACCTATTATAGGTCAAAATTTAGTTTAGTAACATAGTCACATAGATATGTATATAATATGTCTTATACCTAGACTGACATACCGTCTCCGCTCAGAATCGTTTTTCTTATACAATGATATTATATCGTTGAATTCAAATTTAATATCATCCATTATACAGTGACCCACTTGTAACCTACTCTACAGCAGAGCGACACCCACTTGCCCACCTTTTTTTAAATCTTTTTTTAAGTAATTTTTAGGATTTAAAAATTTAAGATATGAGAAATAAGACTTCAAATTTTTAATTTTGATCATAAGTGTTTTTACTAAAAAAACCACTCATTAAACCATATTCTTTGAACGCTCAAACATGTTTTTAAATTCATTTTTAACGCGATATTTGTTTATGACATTAAAAATGAAATATACCTAGTATATTTTAGTGCTCGAATTGGGGGGGGGCGGGGGCAGCTCCATTTCAATTTTTTTTTATATTTTGAGCGCACCCCTTCTAATTATCTCCTTTAGAACGGGGTGACGGAACGTTTTATTTTGTTGAAATAATATTGTGTTTTTTATTTCGTGAAGTTGTATACCGATTTAATAAGATATTAAAATTAAATGTATGGTTTTTGTTTATAGTTGATAATAAGTTTTGAGTAGGTAATTGAAAAAAGACGCGGGACGTCATTGGGCCCGTTTTATCGTAATCGCCTATCTTATACGTCATTTAATAATGTGTAACATTCATTTTTATTTTAATAAATGAGATTATGAGAAGTAAAATAATATTTACTGATTGTTGTTATTGTCATTGGTGTATTATTTATTTTCTAATGTTGATGCTGGTGAGTGGTGGTAGGGGGGTGTGGGGCTTCGCCCCCACGAGTTACGTTGAGATTAATCATTTGTCCATTACTCAAATTTAGATAATATAGAGTCCCCTTTCTTTTATTTTTCCAATTCGAGCACTGGTATATTATATAAAATACTTACTAATTAAATGTATTGATTTATACATTTTTTAATTTTTAAAAAGAATAATAATTTAATTTTTAAATTCGATTTTAATTCAACTAACCTGACTGCTTAACCCATTCTTTTGCCTGGTCTTGATATTTTTATCATTCCGTTTACTTTTGCCACAGTTAAAAAACATACATTTATTACCTTTCGTAGCCATGATGATATTAATAATTAGTGAAATATAAATTGACGAAAGAGTTGGCAATTTTGCCTTCGCTGCGCTCACAGAATTGTAACTTGTGGTTTACTGATTTGTGAATGTTTGAATATTATAAATAATATTATTGTCGTTGACCGTTGTTTTGTATCATATTGATATTTACGTTATATTATTATTATGCACGTATTTCTGGAATAGGCATTAAAATAGATTTTTGTTTACAGCCGTCAGCCTCTATAGAGTTGTTTGTGAGCGTTGACGATTGTTCGTATTAATATTAATTATTATTTCATTATTCATATTTTATTCCGTATTGTAATTTATTTTTAGTATAAACGGGCATATCGGCATATCGCACGATAACGCCGGCCGTGTCCCCCGCACAGAAAATCATTCCCTGTCTAATTGATTTTAATAGTGATTTATTTTTCGATATTTCAATTTACAACTGCGTGCGCTATCTATTGAGACGTTGTGCTATCAATGTGTGTGTTTCCATATCACATATACTCGTGGGCTATCTATAGTATATTTAATCTATGATAGTATTTACTTAAAGTGATAATATTGTTTTTTTTTTTATGTATTAATTCTAATGAATTACCTATATTATTTTGTTCTGCAGTTGCGTTGTTTGTTCAATTTTATGAAATTTAATATGAAAGAGTATAATAAACATAGTAAATAGTAAATACAATATGTATTTTGACACACTTTTATTTCTATTTACTATAACCAATGAATACATGAGACATGAGTGCTATCACACTTTGACAGTCCGAAATTTGTGGTATACTGATAAGTATTAAGTGATAACTGATAATTTATAACCAGGAAGTTCAGCAGTAATCATGAAAATGTGGTTATTATACATATATACAATATATTTTATATCTAGCTATTTCTAGCTATTTTGAAGTTAACCTACAGCTATTTCAGAGTTTTAACTTCTGGCAACACTGGTCGCTGCCGGTAATCTGCATGCGCGTGACGGTACTGATCTCTCGTGGGCCGGAGTATAGTTCTGTATTTTTTGAAAGTATTTGACTATATTTATTCAAAAAACTAAACAAATATTAATATTTACTTAAGGGGGCTGCACCGTAGCATATTTTAAGGAGTACTATTTAGGCAATTCATGTGACATATAAATTAATACTGTATCTATGTGTGAGTAGTAAATGAACATTAGTGTGCGTAATCCGTTATCGCGTTGATCGCGCGAATTCTGCTTATTCGGCGGGCGCATGAGCGGGTGTCTTTCCAGTTAGCAGTCTTTGTTATCTTTCATATACGAGTATTCATAACAAAATAATATTGTAAATAATAATAATATTATGTTGTTTGAGGTTTGTCTGTGTCTAACTGTTTTTTAAAAAATGTATTACTAAATTATTTTTTGCAATGAAGACTGCTACAGTAGTACAGTACTGTATG